TCTCTCTCTGTCTGTCTGGCAAGCGCATGTGCCCTATCGCAAAAACCTCTCAAAAAAAAAAAAAAAGAAATCAAGTGAAGTATATCTAAGTGGTATAATTCAGGTTATAAATATGAGATAAATATCAAATAATATTATACTTAGGGTTTACTAGGAAATATAATAGTTGTGACAGTCATGCTTAACATTTTGGTTAAATCAAGAGGCAAAATAGGTAAGGGTGTCATGGAGGTATGCAAACACCAAACAGCTTACATAACTTTAGCCCTTCTGAGAAACAAAAAATGAGAAATACCTATCAACAGTATGTACTTCTGTAATAAGGTAGCTTCAGTTCATGCATTTCTATAACTGCTGTTGTGTTTGATCATTTTGAAAACCAGATTCAAAATGCATTCTTGCTCAACAAATTGATGATACTACAAAACTTACATTCCAAAATAGTGTTGAAATCTGAAAAGTTTAAGATAGTCTACTTGTTATTCATAATTACCTTTAGATATAATTGACACTATACTACTATAACAAATCAGGTACACTTTTGTGCAGTCAATTCTAGTTACCATAATTTACATTTATTGGTCATCAACAGCACAAATTTTGTGCTCCAAAAGAATTATAAAATCCAGCAAAACGATTACATTTAATTTTCTTTTAAAGATAAACGAGGGGAACCAGCAGTTAGCATAATGGCTATGTCACTGGACTCCCACGTAGTCGACCACGGTTCGTGTCCCGGACCCGGTGGCTTAAAACTCACGCTGGGTGCGTGTGCGTGTGTGCCCAAGATCCCGAGAGGAGAATGGAGGAGAAGGGATTGCGGCGTGACCATCCCCCCTGGGGGGTGATTTCTCGCTTTCTGTCTCTATGTCTCTCTCTGTCTGTCTGGCAAGCGCACGCGCCCTATAGCGAAAATCTCTCAAAAAAAAAAAAAAAAAGATAAATGAGCTAATTTTAAGGAAGAACTGGCATTTCTTGATATCTTGTTCTTCAGCATTTTTAAGGTCAAGTAACCCAGCTCTCTCCTTGGCAAGTTTCTCTTTATTTATTGTCACAGCCTGGGGTTATTCCACTGCAGTTACAGTAAATGCAGTATCTGATGAATGAGGCCAGCACACCCCAGCAGCGATGGTGTTATTCCAGCCCACCATCTTCAGCCACTGGAGTATAGATGTGGTGCCTACACTGAAGCAAGTCAGACCAAAGCCTTGGTGCACAATATACTGCTCACACTGGTCGTCAGATGGCCAGGGAGGCAGAAGGCCTTAACTTTTAATTATATAAATATTTGTGATCATTTTATTTTTTGTATCTATGTTAATTTTCCTAAAGAATTAAGTGTTTTTTTTTTTTGTTTGTTTGTTTGTTTGTTTTGAGAGATTTTTGTATAGGGCGTGTGTGCTTTCCAGAAAGACAGAGAGAGACAGAAACAGAAAGTGAGAAATCACCCCTAGAGGGTAGGACCATGCCACAATCCCTTCTCCATTCTCCTCTCGGGATCTTGGGTATGCACACACATGTGTTTGGCACGAGTTTATGCCTCTGGGTCCAGGACTCAAACTGCAGTTGACTACATGGGAGTCCAGCAACATAGCCATTATGCCAGCTGGTGGTCCCAAGATTGTTTTTCAAATAGATTTTTTCTTTCATGAGAGAGACAGTACCCTCAAGAGTCTTCATACCATGATTCACTCTCACACTCAGCAAACCTTGGACCACAGCACACATATGCTCAGCATACCCAAGTATGTCTCTAGACATGAACCCCAGAAATGTTTCCATGTAAGTTACCATCTTGGGGCATTGTGTTTTACATTATGCCACCATCTGTCCCTCAGTGTGAAATCCTTAAACAGCTAAAAAATGGTGGTGTTTTACTATTAAAGTGTTTTTAGTTTTCCCTTTTATTTATTTAGATTTTTGGTGTAGGGCATATGTGCTTGTAGAAAAGAGAGAGAGAATGAGAAGTCACACTCGAGGGAGATGTTAGTCCCTTCTCCGTTCTCCTCAGGATTTGGGGCATGCTCACACAGGCACTCAGTGTGTTTTTCAAGCTGTTAGGTTAGGGATGCAAACCACAGAGTCAGCTATGTGGGGTCCAGCACCTTAACCACTGTTGTTCCAAAATGTTTTAAAAATTTGTTTAAATAATTTTGTCTGTATTGACAAAGATTCTCTGTTTGACCATAATTTAGCCAGGCTTCTTAAATTTTACCAAATTCTAATTGTTCACTTTTTGATGAAATCAAGGTATGTCGGTTTGAACAGAAACACCCTTAGCCCAAGGTTACCTAATAGTAATTTGCAGATCACAACCACCACCTTGAAGCAAGGTGCTAAATTCACACAGGTTCATTCTATATTCAGATTTGAGCCCACTCTCCCACACACAGAATCTCATTTTCCCAATCCCTATATCTGTGTCCAAGGTATCTAATAAAATGTTATTAATTATTATGGCTTACTAGGTAGATATATCACATAATTTTTAACACTATATTACTACTTCTGAAGAAAAAAAAATGTTTGGTAGACTTTTGCTATAGGACGTGTGCACTTTCCAGAGAGAGACAGAAAGTGAGGAATCAACCTGGGAGGGTGTATGTGCCACAATTTCTCCTCCATTCTCCTCTCAGGATTTTTGGCATGCACACTAATGCACCCAGCATGAGTTTCAAGCCTCTGAGTTCAAGACTCAATTTCTGGTTGGCTATGTGGGAGTCCAGTATCTTAAGCATTATGCTACCTGCTGGCCCCTGAAAATTAAAATTTTATCTGTTGTCTAAAAATGGTCAAATTTTCTTACTTTTGAATAAATTCTTGAAAGAAAAAAAATTTTTGGAGAGGTTTTGCTATAGGGCATATGCGCTCACCTGAAAGACAGAGAGACACAGAGAGACAGAAAGTGAGAAATCACCCCCCAGGGTGGATGGCCATGTTGCAATCCCTTCTCCTCCATTCTCCTCTCGGAATATTGGACACACACGCACATGCTCCCGGCGTGAGCTTAAGCCACTGGTTCCAGGACTCAAACTGCAGTCAACTACATGGGAGTCCAGCGAAATTGATGCAGTACAGTATTTATGCCAGTGAGAACTACTCAATATTTAACTTTTGTTTTGATTCTCATAAACTGTCATTGGTATATTATAATTTTTCTGATGTTTAACTATTTTGCAATATATCTTGTTAATTTTTATTTATGAATGAAACTTATTTATTTACTGAGGAATTTATAATACATGATATCTACTTACAGTTGATTAGTTTAATTCTGCTTTTTCCAAATCAAAATTTGCTATATGTTACATTATCTTTGTAGGGTTTTTTAAGCTTTTTGTCATTGGGCACACATGCTTTTCAGAGAGAGTCAAAGACAGGGAAGGTGAGAACTCACCCTCCAAGGTGACACATACACATGAGCGAGGAGTGATTTTTCAAAAACAAGGCCCAGGATTCAAGCTGTGGTCAAGCATTTGGGAATACAGTGCCTCACCAGCATGGCACCTTACTGGGCCCATGTGTAGCACTCTTTTTTGTTTTAAGGTTTATGTCACAGAGAACATATTCTCACTGGAGAGAGACAGAAAGATACAAAAAAGTAAATGTAAGAAATTACTCCCCATGAGGATGGCCATGCCACAATCTTTTCTCCATTCTACTCCTGCAACTCTAGGTATGGACTTGGTGTAATTTTCAAGCCACCAGACATCATAACCTTGTTGGCCATGTGAGAGTCCCGTGCCACAACCACTTGATGGCCATGTAGTATGTTTTGATATTATATCAAAATCAAAGACAAGGAAAGCAATAAACAAATCAAGTTATTTAAAAGTAAAATAATTCCAGACCAGCAGTTAGCATAATGGCTATGTCGCTGGACTCCCATGTAGTCAACTGTAGTTCGAGTCCCGGACCCGGTGGCTTAAAACTCACACCGGGCACATGTGCGTGCATGCCCATGATCCTGAGAAGAGAATGGAGGAGAAGGGATTGTGGCATGGCCATCCCCCCTGGGGGGGTGATTTCTCACTTTCTGTCTCTCTCTGTCTCTCTCTGTCTAGTGAGTACACCTGCCCTATAGCAAAAGCCTCTCAAAAAAAAAAAAAACCCTAAAATAATATTGTCCAACAAAGTAAACAAAAACAGATTTCAGAAACTGCAGAATGGTTTACACATTGGTAAGTAATATATTACATAAGGGATTATTATTCAAAATGGATAAAATACTCAATGTTTAGAAAACAAACCCAAGGGAAAATTATAAAGGACTTGATAGGTATTTTTCAAAAACTTCACTTTACAAGCTATGTGATTCAGTGATTGAATGTGTAAAAGAAATTAAAATAAAATAAATTTAAAAGAGGTATAAATTTAATATGTCCAAAATATTTTTGTGCTTCCATATTCATTGCAGTATTGTTCACGATAGTCAAAATATGGTATTAACAAAATATTACAGAAAAATGGTTTAAAAAATCTGTTAATAGGCCAGCAGGTGGTGTGGAGATTAGGGTGCTGGTCTTCCACATGACTGACCATGTTTCAAGTCTCATATCTGGCAGTTAGCTTTTTCACTTTTTCTCTCTCTCTTTATCTGCCTCTCTATGATGAGTACATGAGCCCTATAACAAATTAAATAATAATAATAATTAAATTAAATTAATCTCTTTTTAAAAACCTGTTGCATATGTATGAAATAGAATAATATCAAACCTTTAATAAAAAGATAAATTTGTTATTTCAGCCTCATCGTCTAATGGTTAAGAGATCAGGGGTCCCCATGGCTGACCACGATTGGAATCTGATTGCTGATGGATTAAGAAACACGCTATGTATATGTGTGGGTACATTCCCTAAACTCTGACAGAATGGAGAAATGGAGAAAGAATTGAAACATGATCATGTTCCTATGAAGAGTGTATCTCTATCCCTTAGTCTCTGGTGAGGTTGTGTACCCTAAAAGTAACAGGAAAAATTTTGTTATTTTAACAACAAGAATGAACTTGGAGGACAATATGCTGATTGAACTAATTCAGGTACAGAAAGACATATACCACATTATTTCACGCATAAGTAGAGTGTTAAAAACTCAAATTCATAGAAACAGGAAGTAAAATGGCAGATACTGCAAATTGAGGGTAGCCAGGTTTTAGAAAGAATACAAGTTAGACAATAGAAACAGGTTCTAAGGCTCTAATGTACACCATGTTAATGCAATTAATTACATTATGTTGTATACCTAAAAAATTCTATGAGAGAATATATTATCACCTCAAAAACATAAGTTGTGAAGTAATACATATGTGTTTTAAAGAATTATTTTATTATTATTATTATTATTAATTTTGACCAGAGAGAGAAAAAGGGAAAATGAGAAAAAATATAACTAGGTCTGCCCCCTGAGTGGTGGTCAGTTGTGTGGGAGTCAGCACCTTGACCACTATACCACCTGCCAGCCCTGGTAATATATGTTAAATGGCTCGTTATAAACATTCCCCAAAGTTGACCTCAATCAAAACATCTTCCTGAATATAATAAATTTATAAAAATAAAAAATAGAAATACAAAAATGAGTGAATAAATAATGATTTGCATTGAACTGCTTGTGGATGAAGAGGAGTTATTCTTTTCCCTTGGAGGAGAGGTGTTTTCTTGCTTCCCCATATTGATAAGAGAATGTTATCAAGAATAATTTCTAGGGTATACACTGGACTCAGGAACACCGCGGAAAACACTGGTCTCAGGAGGGGACTTAAAGTTCGTGAGAAGAAGAAAAGCAGGAGAGTTGAGGCCTTCAGAAGAGGATTCTTCATGGCTCCTGCTAACTAGCCATTGCAGGGGACAGGAAAATGAAGATTTTCTACCAATAATTCAGCCTCCAGCAAACAAAGCTAGCGTGGGTTAACATATTCCTCAACATCTACTGAATCTGCTGCACCAGTGCTCACAATAGAATGGCAAAGAGATTCCAGATCACCTCATTCTGCTTGCTCCTGAACAGTCAGATTGAACTTCAAAAATTCGAAAGAAAAACACCATCCATCAGATGACAAGAAATCACCGCAGGACCAAGAAATATGGGGAAGCAAGAAAACACCTCTCCTCCAAGGGAAAAGAATAACTCCTCTTCATCCACAAGCAGTTCAATGCAAATCATGGAAATGTCTGATAAAGAATTTAGAACATTCATAATGGCAAAGCTAACTGAGATGGAAGAGAAGAGAGACAATGAACTGCTAAAGAGAAAGGAGAAAGAAGTTGACGAGTTCCAGGAGGTGAGGAAATTCTTGTAAGATCTAAAAGAGGAATTACACGCTTTACAAAAGAGTCAAACGGAACTGTTAGAAATGAAGCCTATAATACAGGAAGTCAAAATCTCCCTTGAAAGTATTAAAAGCAGACTAGATCATGCAGAAAATAGAATCTCAGACGCAGAAGAGAAAATTGCTGGCCTAGAAAAATCTACCACAAAGACTGAGAAAATGGCACAAAAATTTGAGAATAATATGCTGGAAGTATTAGATACCATCAAATGTCCAAACATCCGGATAATTGGCATTCCAGAAGGTGAAGAGACCCATAAGGGCATTGATAATCTATTCCATGAAATCCTGCAAGAATTCTTTCAAACCTAGAGAGGCATTCAAAGATCCATTTGCAAGAAATACAAAGGACCCCAAATAGAATCAACCCAAGAAGATCTTCTCCAAGACACATTATAGCCAGGTTGACCAAAACCACAGACAAAGACAAGATACTAAGATT